TTGGAAAAATTTAACCGTCAACTGTCAAAGACACCCTCTTCCTATACCTACTAAGTCAGGTCAAGTTTATCTTTTCAATTTGTTTCTCTTGCCTAGCTTCCGCGCCTGTGTTTAGCTCCAGCTCTTACAGCGGCACTGTCAACGAAAACGTACCCACAGGCACCACAGTCAGCGGCGTTACTCTTTCGGCAACTGACAGCGATGGAGATAGCATCACCTACTCTATAATCAGTTCAGCAGGGCCGTTTAAACTGAGTGGGGCTGGAACATCTGTGCTAACTAATGGACTGGCAATTGACTTTGAGACACAGGACTCCTATTCGTTGACGGTTCAAGCTGAGGCTGCAGGTGATTATGGAATAAATAACGTCATTTTGAAATGATTCGGTTTGATTTGCTGGCGTATTTTACTCCAGCCCTTCATCCCCGAAGTTGCATACAAGACAAGTCGTTCATTTATATGAAGAATTCAGAATACAGTTGTTTTGATTTCGCATATAGCTTACTGAGCTTTATGGAACAAAAAGCTTGCATTATTCCTAACGCCCACAAAATGTCTTTTTATTTGGTTTTTCTCTTTCTGTGTAGATTATTTTTTTTGTACGTCTTATTTTTCTCTTCTAATTTGTAATTTGAAGAGGCTGCCGTTCGATTTAACTCACTACTGCGCAGTCGCCGAAATTCAAAATCTCCTTTTATAGACGTGCTTTATAGAAAAGTTATAAAATCAAAAATATGTTTTACTTAGTAAAATGGTTTTTTCCTTGTTTCTTCAATAATTAAAAAACATCTGTGTTGCAGTATAGTCCCCCTGGATCTGCTACTAATCATTTAAACAAGGCCTTTGTTTTTTTTTTAAGGTGAAACAGCAAATGCGAGCGTAACTATCACGGTTGTCAATGTGAATGAAGCTCCAAGCTTCACGCTATCCTCATACAGCGGTGTCATTGCTGAGAACAGTGTCAATGGAGTTGACATCATTACCATACCTGCTACAGACCCTGATAGCGGTGACACGCTGACCTATAGTCTGTCCGGCTCAGGTACGTTCAGGTTGATTGAGGATCGAGAAATCCGCAGTTGATGAAAAAAATTTCGTCAACTTTACTCCAGTTGATTTATTTTCTAGCATTCCACAGTGAAGATCTATGATAAGAACCGATTTAGAAATGTCGTCATGACCATAGTTTCTTTCTTTGAGAAGTGTTGACAAACAAACAAGCAAAAAATAAACAAATGCATAAAAGGGCTTCATTTCCTCACTGGACTCAGAAGTCTGCTTAAATTAGCAAAAGCTAGGCAACCCCTCGGTTTTGCAACCTATTCTTTGTTTTTTGTTTGACACATTACCTCGCAGGGTTAAGCCTATGAAAACAGACGTATTTCCTGTCGTCGCTTCTCTTCACCCGATGGAACGTCTGTGTTCGCAGGCTACGCAGTGTTTGGATATCAGATGAAACACTCATTCTCGTGTTTTATTTATACATTTTGCTTCTTGGATATCAGATGAAACACTTTTTCTAGTGTTTGATCTTTTTCTTCCAGACAAGTACTTTTAAAAACAAATCAAAATCAAAGCTAAATCATCTTTAGTCTTTTGAGTCTGATATAACGTGAAGAAAATTATCGATTCCCTTTTATCCAGGATCGTCCTTGTTTGATGTGCTGAGCAATGGAGTGATAGAAGTCGCTGGAAGTCTGAATTTTGAGAGCACACCCAGCTACTCTTTGACGCTGACCGTAACAGACGCTGGCTCTCTGACCGATACAGCAGTTGTTGTTATTTCTGTTAGCGATGTGAATGAGAACCCGTCGTTTGTGGGGGCGCCATATTCTGCCACGGTAGCGGAGAATGACGCTGCAGCGAGTGTTGTTACTGTTAGTGCTACGGATCCAGATTCAGGTAAAGTGTTGAAATCACCTATTTCTTTTACACTACTAACACCTTCATGGCGGCTAAACGTTGCCTTCTAGGAAAAGCGCAGTGGCGGATCCGGGGAAGGGGCCCGGGGGGGCCGGGCCCCCGCCTTATTTTTAGACCATACTGAGGTCCGAAGGCTGCAGAAAATTTTTTTGGATACCGCCTTCCTCCCCCACCCTTTAAGGGTCAGGATGACCGGGCCCCTCCCTTATCTGAAGGTCTGGATTTGACTTTGACGCAAGAGTTTTATCTGATTAATTCTGGGACAAATATCCCACCATTTAGCTCCCGCGAGTTTCTTAATACCGTGATCAAGGGTGGATTTCCAATGCGTAAACGCGTAACGCTTAACTTAATTGAAATTCGCGAGCGTCAATAAAATAGAGACAATGTATGGAAGGCCGCGCCTACAAATGAGCGAGGTTCAACCGTTTTAAATTAACGCGCTACCTCCATACATTGCCTCTATTTTATATACGCACGTAAAACATGATTACGCGATAGTGGAAATCCACTTTAAGTTCTTTCAATTGCTTTGTTTGTATAATAATCGGTATAGACTCTTAACCAAAGCTTTACATGCTTTTCTCCTTGTTTCAGGAGACTCTGTCACGTTCAGTCTATCGGGTTCAAAAAGCTCAGACTTTACTATACATGCATCCAGCGGAGTTGTCACGCTCACTGACGCACTTAACTACGAGGTTACCTCATCCTACTCACTCACAGTCACAGCGTCTGATAGCAACGGTGGTGTCACGCAAACTTCACTTACTGTTACGGTAACGAATGCCAATGATGCCCCAGTCTCCGTCGGTAATCCATACTCGGCGACCATCGCGGAAGACGAACCCAGCGGTACAAATGTTTTAAAGACGGCTGCTTCGGATGAAGATGGTCATGGCATTTTATTTAGCTTGTCGGGGAGTTCCGATTTCGAGATCCTTAACTCAGGAATGATTCGGATCAAGGCAGGGGTTAGCTTAGATTACGAAATTCAAGACAGTTACAACTTAACGGTGACTTTTTCCGACGGTGTAGCAAGTGCTTCCGAGCTAGTTGCGATAACTGTGACGAACAAAAACGACGCACCTACCTTGCCAAGTTCTCCGTACTCCACGAGCGTTTCCGAAGATGTGTCCGTGGGAGCGAGTGTTTACGACATAGATGCAAGTGACCAGGACGGTGATTCGTCAACATATACGCTGTCGGGAACTGGTGTAACGCACTTTACGATCGATTCCAATACTGGGATTGTAACAACCACCCAGGCGTTGGATTACGAAGATACGACCTCTTATTTCGTGACCGGTGAGTAAATAAGTGATATATTTGAAGAGAGTTTACTAGGAAAGTTCATTAGAGAAAAAATTGTAACTTCATACCATATATGAATCTTGTAAGAAAGCTTTAAATCCAAGTGACGGTTTCTAATGCCATACTTAATTGGAGGACGAGGTCAACAAGAATTACAGCACATTTGTATGATGATCACTTATGAAGATTTTCAACTCTGTTTATCTTACGTCGGATTTTAACATATTATGACAAACATTGGCTTGAGTGGTAAGCATAAATTTTTTAGGCAACGTTGGGGTTCTAGCTAAAATCTTTTCCTTACACTGACTTATACCACATTAAGTCTCATTTTTGATTCCAATTCTGAATCCTGATTCAGTTGCAAACATCCTTAGTTCAGACCTAAATCCCAACGTCTGTTGCTAAAGGAAATGTTTGACTGCACCGAAAGTTGAGCAGAGCTGCGCGTTTTACAATGTAAATCCGCCTTAAGCATGAGCTACAAAAATGCCTGGCTAAAGTTTTTTTACTTTTAGACTCCGTTCACATGGCACCAGACTTATTTTCGACCGGTTAAAAATTCGTGCGTTTAGATGTTCCGTTCACAAAGAACCACTTTAACCTTACAAAAATTTAGAGGCCTAGCGGTTTAAAGTTCCGTGTACAGAGCTAAAATCTTAACCGGTCAGGAGCTCATAACCCACAAAGAAAGCATCCTTGAATATTACTGTGACTCTGACCAGGA